TACGGCAGCGAAACATGGCCATTAAGAGTAGAAGACACCCGTAAGCTACTAATATTTGACCACAGATGCCTTAGAAATATTGCTGGCGTCTATTGGGATCACCGGGTAAGTAATAGTGAGGAAGAAAGTTAGGGGCGGCCAAACCAAAACGTGGCATCAGTGCCTGAAGACACTAACTTTTAGTCTGAGCCATGTTGGTAGATGCAGACTACTTGGTTGGGGTCCGCGTGACTATCGTAACCAATGGTTAGAGACTCTTGGTGGCATGGCTCGGAATCGATCACAATGGCGTCGGTGTATACACTCCCTGTCTTCCCTTAAACTAAAAGATAAAAATCACTTCATTTCTTTCTTTCTACGAACCAATTCTTTCTTCTTGTACTATATCTCTATAGGCAATCTTTCTCTTATATATTACCACCTTTGACCTAACCACTGCTGTGAATCCGGTGTTCATCTTGTTGTGCTGATGCGGTATGGCAACCTGGACCGATGCACATATGTGCCTGGTCCTACGTTGTAGCTGACTGACTGACTGATTTGGGTAGATTATATAAAGATATATTCGATGCGAAAAAGAAGACGTTACATGATCTGACCACGTCTGTATGACTGACCTTTACCTTACAGTCCAAGCATTCCTGCGTTCACCGTTTCAGCTTCAATTTGGAAAATACAGTAGGCTGGATTGTCTCTATTTGTCCTGGTAATGGTGGTCTCTCAGTTGGTTTAACCTTCTCTGAAGTCCTTTGTCTGATGGAGGTTCAATCATTTGTTAGAGTGATGAATTCTATTCGTTCATAATTCGAGGAAAAAGTTAAAAGACAGCTGACAAGTGATTTGTTCTGAGCTTTTGAATTTTTTAGTGTTCCAAGTTCTTTGTTTTGGAAGACCAGAAAGGCGAGGGCATATAGTTTGTAAAGTTATCATTATATAATTAAAATATGAGATCTCGTCACCTCTAGTTCTTTTACATGACAAGTGGAATAGGTTTATTTTAACCAGTTTATCATCATACGGAAACATCACGATTTCTGAAATCTGTTCATTTTTGATTTTATGAACCTTTCATAAGAGCATACTGCCTCATATTTGACAAAAGTTAGCATCTTGTATGCATTGTTTGATTTTCGGATGAACTAAATCTTTGTATAAAGGTGACAGGTTATCAACACTGACATGACTAAATGCTCAGCGTATGGGCCTTAGCATTCGAAGAGTTTTGCCGGCTACTGCAGGGTAGTGTGCAATTGTTTTCAAGCCTTGGTTAACAATGACTCCTATGTCATTTTGTATTTGGACAACAGGTAGCTCAATGTTGTTCACTGTGTATGTATCCGTACCTTGACAGTCAATATGCAAAATAATGCACCTGAAAGTATTTATCCGCAACTGCTGAAGTTCAGACAAGTCAAATAGTTTCTCCAGGTCACTTTGAAGCCCTTATCTTTCACCTTCACGTTTTATTACTCTATATTTATGTCCATAACTAACCAATCAAGGCGTTGTTTATGCACCTACCACGTCAACGTTGTCTGATATGTCCGTCGACTGTCCTTGTTGCTTGTGACCTACCATTAAAAGGACATCGTTATACTACTATATTATTGTGACTCATGATTTTTATTCACTTCAATAAGACATGCGATACTGGCCGGCATATTTATGCATTCCACTTAACGACCATAATTCATTTGATTATTGAACTAATCGAAATGTTTTTACGTCCAGAAACAGATATGATTTAAAAACAAGCCGTTCTTGTTCTGACTATAGCTTTCACATAGACTGATATCGTTAGTATCGCGTTTACAGTTCTAGTACAGTATCTGTAGGATATATTAAATCATAAACTGGTCGAAAATGTACCAAGTACCAGCTACAAGTTCTTTTTTGCTCTTTGTTGATGTACAATTGGGAACTCCTTCATCCGTATAAATAAGTCGCCTCCAATCCCGACACCTCTTAACTTAGATAGCAGTCAATTGTGAGGATCTTTGTCAAAACTCTTATTGAAGTCAATGTGGGCTACATCTGCAAGTAAATTTTAGTATTTAAGAGAGCAACAACTTTCACGGACTACCAGTAACTTAGTGAGACGTGAATAATTTGATATAGGGCCATGCCACCTTTCATGAAGGATATGGATTTCGTCTATATTCTTAGCCAACTCCTTCCGAATAAACGTTTTTAAACTTTTAAAAACCATTTTGATAAGCTTACAGATCGACTGTTTTCGGGTTTGTGTCTTGTTCCCGTTTTGAAGACTGAACTTACTGAGGCGTTCTTCAGTCCGTTGGCAATCCACCTTTGGTTGCAGACAGATCAAGGCATGCAATTAACGGATTTGCGATAAATTTTTCTCGTTGATTTACCATTCTCCAACCGAACTGTCTGACACGGTGTAACCCAATATAACTATTGTTCCAGTCATAGGTACCATGACGCACTGTCATATGGTTAGGATTAAATCAGAAACAAGCCGATCGATGAAATACCATTATGTGGTGGTTCCATTTTAGTCTGTATATACAATATGCTTGTAGATCACTAACGTATGTGATCCGTGACGAATGGTTGTGGGCCTACACGAGTTAGGCGGTAATGGTTTGATCAACCAGCTAACGTCAAAGTCACGCCTTGCGGTTAGGACCAAACATGGATTAGTCTTTCGTTGTATACAGGTATTATGACTGTTTTGATGAACACACAACACAAACGGCGTTGTTACAGAAATATCGTAGTAAGAGTAGCTACAAAAAAAGGCTGGGACCATCATCGCATAGGCCAGTTCGCGACGTTCCTCTGACCTCGCCTGGTACACAGACCTCACTTGTGGATGATGGTGAAGATGGTCGACAAAAATTTAGAAAGAAAACCAGGACAGAGGTTAGGAAAATCTGCTAGTCGAAACACGAAGTTATGGTAGAGTTTCAAATGCTTCGCGCAAACCAAATTACTACGTTCTACTACCATATTCTGTTGTGATATCTTTATAGAGCCCAAAATCATGGCGATCATTTAGGGCACCATGGATTACTTTCCTTGTCAATAAGTATACGCTACGTTTATTGTTACAAATACTTGTCCTAACCACGCCGAGATACCAGCCATAAAATCTGCATATGTGACTGGGGAAACTGTTCACCCATTGATAACTAACCTCAAATCTTTAAGATACCGGGACCTGACGGGTTAGATCCACGGCTTCTGTCATCTCTAGCGACACCCTTATAAATGTCCCTTTCCCTCTCCCAACTACCTAGAGATTGGAAAGACGCTATATTCAGTCTTATATTTAGGGATGGTCAGAGACAGATCGTATCTAACTACCCACCTGTCAGTCTAACCAGCATGGTCGTTAAGTTACTGGAAAAGAGAATTCGGGTTAAGTTGTTAAGTCAAACAGATTCACACAATCTGTTAGTTCCTGAGCAACATAGGTTTCGTAACAAGCGTTCATGCTTAACTAACCTACTTATTGCGAGAGGGGATTAGACTGCAGCCTTAAATAATGGTCTGTCTGTCGATGTGATATTCATAGATTTTAGCAAAGCATTTGACAAAGTTTCACACTTAGGTTTTATACAGAAGCTCTCAAACTTCGGAATAATAGGTTCTGTTCAGGAGTGGATAGGAAACTTCTTGTGTGACCTTATACAGAGAGTGAGGGTCAATGGAGCGCTATCCGACCGAAATCCGGTCAAAAGTGGTGTATCCCAAGGCACCACCTTAGGCCCCCTGCTCTTCCTTCTCTACGTTAACGAGTTATCGCCGTTGCTTAGGTCATTGTTATTATTGTTTGCAGATAAAGGATACCAACTCACTTGAGCGTTTCCAGAGTGTGGGGAAAAAATTAGTTAAGGGTCTTTCTAAAATCCCATATGATGAATGTTTAAAACGCCTAAAACTTTTCCCCTTGTTGTATTGTAGGACACGAGGTGACATTATACTGGCATTTCGTATCTTTAATTATGATTTGGGTGTTAATATGTCTTATCTTTTTGCTCCCCCCAGCACTAATAATCTCCGAGGTCATAACAAGAAGGTTCGCAAACTGCAATCTAACAAACTTAATGTGGGATCCCGTTTTTCTCATCGAGTAGTCAGTGACTGGAACATCTTACTCAAACAAGTGGTATTAGCCCCATCAGTGAATATTTTAAAAGAAAAGCAGGACCTTCACTGGAAGGCAATCTGTCAAGATTAACACAGGTTCACCAACCTACCATCCTTAATACTTAAGACTGTCAGCGCAAATTTTGTTGCTTACGGTACATCCAGTATTTCTGAATCTTTGTGCAAACTAGTCGAAACCATATCTGTTTTTTTAAAATTTGGCGTTACTTGTATAAAATGTTGTATCCAAAATAAAACTAAGTTTTTTTCTGGTTGAAATTGTAATTTTTATACATCATTCAATAGCACTCATCTTTCCAGGCGTATGTGACTGTTTATATGTACCTTGTTGGCAGCATTTTCTCGCCTGACCAATAAGTTGAGATTTCTGAAAGCTTAGAATTCCATGGAAAACTTATTTATGATTGTCGTTCACATATAATAAGTTGGAAAACCTGTTTTTCTGATGAGATTTCTTACTAGCAATAATTATTCTGGTATAGGTGGGAAATCGGAAACATCTAGCAACGTTTGGTTGTTAGTTTAGGTACTTCAGATACTTTTTGTGTGTACATACCCGGACTCCTAAACAAGACTAAGCCAGTCACTGTAAAGTTAAACAAGTTAACAAAAACGTTAGTTCATGCGTGACACTATAACACATCAAATCAAAAAAATCTACCAAGTAATGTTTTCGCGTTGTTTCACCGCATCTCCACGAAGCCTATGCTGATGCAACGAGATAAAGATATGCTGCTTATAATGGCTGGGATAACTAAGAACAGGAGTCATGGAATCTTCAATTGGTCCTGTACCTTACCATTAGATAGACAGTTAAAATAATATCAATCTAATATCTTATTTTCATGTCGTTCGTTTTAGAGACTTCATGGTCAACGATTTTTAAAATGAGGACATAACCATCGTAAATCGCGTTGCTATATAGTGTGTCATGGCACGAAGTTTTTGGCGCAGTTCAAACTAGTAAGTCTTGCTATTCTCTGTTAGCTCATCAGACTTAACTTTTTTATTATTGAGTAATTAGCACATTACCGCTTATTTTCTGTATTTGACTTATTACATACGTCAAATCGGTATATCCTACTGCCTGACAACACTATCTTTAACAGATATTTCTAGATGATATAAGCTGCATTTAATGGAGATGCAAATAAGGATACCATGAGAATGTCCATTAAAATGTAAGTTGCAATATGTTACTCGATCGCCTAATTGGATGATATAGCAGTGATTGGTTATTAGAGTGAAACTAAACGAATCATACTTCATCGTTTGAATGGAAGCTACTCTTTTATATGCTTCAACAGTTCTCATTCGATAAATTTACATTGGATTAAGGGAGAATGCAAACAAAAGCCCTTACACATTGCTTACTTTCAACAACCACGTCTCCTAGTTGTACATTGCAAAATAGGTTATATAGAGAAGTTACCTAATTACAGGAAAAGTAGTTTGTATTCATATATCGCTACACTTTTGTTTCATAGTATCTTCCCTATTCATACTTATTCTTTAATTTACAGTTTAGAGTGGTTATTGGATCGTCAAGATGTAATGATACATAGAGCGAATGATTTAAAAATTCTTGGTAGCGAAGAAGAATATCAGAAAGTAATGCTTTTCTTTACTGATGGTATGTTATGCTTTAAACCTCATAAATTTCTGGCACCGTTATCACCACTTTCATTTTCATTTAAAAATTGTCTTTCCATCTTTATAGTCATTCAAGCATTTGGCAAAAGCGTTGAAGTCCGTCAACAAGTAATTGCAACCGCTTTAGTATATTTCAAAAGATTTTACAGTCGGTAGGTTGCATATGAGAGGATATTATCTGTAACAATAAAGCAATTCATTTAAGACTATCGACCCATGGTTAATGGCTCCATCGTGTCTGTTTTTAGCATCTAAAGTTGAGGTTGGTTTGCTTATTCTAAAAAAATTATGTCGAACAAATCTTTACCGATTTTAGGAATTCGGTGTAGTTTCTCAAAAAAATCTAATGACATCATGTCGTAATGTGGGTAAGTTCTGTTTTTTAAAACTATTAATTCGGTCAATCCTAGTTCATAGTCATTATTTAATCTATTTTCCTGATGGTTACGGTTATCCATATCGTGCTCAAGATGTATTGGAATGTGAATTTATTTTACTTGAAGCAATGGTGAGAAGATTGTTTTGGTTAATTTGTGATATTAAAAAAATGGGGGTGATGTCATTTTATTGTCGAAAATAATTCGTGGAAAAATATTGGTCATGAGGGTTGGAGAGTTGGGACTATTTTTTATATTCACATCTTACCAATAATAAAATAAATTAAGTACGACCATAACAGAGAGATTTTCCTTGGTTCTATCAATCGTGGTTTGATATATAGTCATGAGCTGTGTAAAGCTTTGACTGATAAGGTACAGTAGTCCTGGAAGTGGTAGATGGTATTTATGGAGCCATTAAGCTTTTCTTTGCGTCTTTGAGGGAGATAATTATAAGCACTAAATCTTAGTGTAAGCTTTTTGCCCACTTGCATTCCACATCAAGCAGTAATACATTTTCTGTTTTAGTCATAATTGAATTCTGAAGTTCTCTAAATATTTTATTTTCAGGATTGTTCATTAGTCGTCTTTCATCCTTATCGTCCGTTGGTACAGTTTTGTGATGAACTTCGCCCCCAAATGCATGAGTATGCTGACTTACTGTTAGAGCGTGCTTGGTAAGTCGTTTCCTGTAAACCTTCGTACAGAACATTTTAAGTTAATAAACAAACACACCGAAGGTCTATATGCTATTTGTCTCAATCAAAAACTTTATGTCTTTCTTGCAAATTATGTCTGTGTGTTATGGTCAGTGTTGCTTGTGGAGTACTAATCTGGACACTTCGGGTTCATACAGTTTAGTCTCAGTTTAGAATCCAAGTGATCGTATAGTACTTTTTGAGAAAATGCACGATAATGTCTGCAGCTCATCAAATCAGTAGTAATAATTTTATCTTATACGCGAGTATCGGTAATCGAGGATTTTCATTATCGAAATTGTCCTCGTTTACTGATGATCAGTCCAATTATCTTATTTCCACTTAGTTACTTTGATCACTGAAGAAGTCGAAAATCCACATTCTATATCCGAACAACAGTTAATCGTCATTGGATATCAGCACTCTACTAATTCAGGAGATTGCACAAAATTGTCACAACTCACCAACTCAGTCGTTTATAAGTAACATAACGACCTGGTACACATGTAGATCAGCCTAATCTGTTCATACGATAAGCTACTATTCACAAATCCAGCTTTAATACAGTGAATGCGACTATCTTCACTGCCTCACTAACTAGAGTAAGAAGTCGAGTTGTTGTTTAGAAGCTTGTTGATCCAAGAACCAGTAAAACCCAAAATAAATTTATGATATCAGATGGGTTTTGTGGAGATCGTAGTAATTTCAATGGTTAAGATCATGAGTCAGTTGAAGCTAGACCACCTTGGAAAACCTGGAAGCACTGGACGGCCGTCTATCTATTATGATTATCACAGTTTACGATTCGAATAATTGTCAATGAACACAAATCAGTGAGGAACGTATTGAAAGTCTATAAACAGAATTTACACTTAACTATTTAATGTAACAAGAATTCATCTTAAATCGATATTGATTTTCTTTCTATGTTGTATTTAAGGATTCCATACCCCCAACATGTCTGAAGTTACCATACCACATCAGTACAGCAAGATAAAATAGTAGCAGTAGTACCAGTGATAGTAAGAAAGATCTGACATCGAGGATATAATCCGAGAAAAAAAGAGAAAATGCAAGGAAATAATAGGTACCATCTCTACATAACGTACCCTCCATACAGTGATTCTTTGTTCTTAATGCTCATTATCATACATTCCTGTCTTTACTGTTTGATGCGTATGGCTAAATCAACTGCAAAAGAGAAAATAACCAACAACACTGACCTTCAGAATAAGAGGAGCTTCGAAAAACTCAAAGCGATTGTCGAACACTGTTTACACACTTTGGTACAAGACTTGCAGTCATCATACCTTTATTGAGTTAACCGTTCCATTTATTCATAATTATGATTCCATAGTCTGTACATATGATTCCACACTACTTTGTCAAATTTGGGATCCCATTACATGTTTCGGAAACTCATATTTATTAATGAATTATTTCACTTTACCACTACTCTTAAGATATTTCTAACTATCTTAGGATCTTTTGAAACCTTAGGACTATTGGGTAACTGGATTTTTCTAATTCGTACATCCTAGATGAACTCACAAATCAATCAATTAATTGTATACTTTTTTTAAATATGCTGCAAATGATTACAATATATTTTCGATCATCTTTTTTTGTCGATATATCTAAAGGTGGCTAGTAAATGATAGTTTTCGAACAGACGTGTGCCTGCATTATCCTCCCTATATAATTGCTCTAGGTATGTTCTTTTTTTACCATATGTATTATTAAGTCCTTATTTCTCTTAGATTCTAATGAGCTTTATGTAAAATCCGACTGGCTACTTTATTTCATTTCATTTAAAATATTAAAGTTTCTGAACAACTGGCCACTACAGTAATCATTACTAATTGAGTGAGTGCCCGAGCCTTTAACTACAAGATCTCATCCCCAAGGTAGTGGATTAGCACCAAGTGATGCGATCTCTCGATAGTCAATGACCAGAGTAGATTCATACTCCATTTGTTCTTTCAGGTCCTTGAAGCCTGTATGCATTAGTGAGTTTCGCAACCCCCTAGATAGGTCTCTCAAATCCATCAACTCGGTTTAATTTACTGATGCCCACTTTTTCTCATCATTATGGTAAAAATACCTTCATCATGAGATCCTAATGATTAAAGGTTTCATGAAAGAGTCTACAGACACAAGACCCTATGAAAGCACTTCGAAAACTAGGACAAACTACTCAATTTCAACTGTAACATTGCATTGTAAAGCATTCCTTTGCGTAATAAATTAGTTTTTTGTGACAGTTATGTAGGGTCTTTTATGTCAAAATTTATCTTATAATTCATTCATGTCACGTTTTTAACATTTCATTGTATGCTATCAGTCTGTATATTAATGATAACACACTGCTTGTTAAATATTTTTTTATTCTGTTGTGTATGTAATCTGTAATATAAAGAACTGTAAAATTATTCTTATAAGACTTATGCGTCCTCTCTAATAATCACTATTTCACGTTTTTATCAATTTTATCTGGAACAACCTAGAAGTCACATTCTTTCTGGAGGTATTAACTTACGTTTATTTTTATTACCTAAATATTCCTGTCAACCCAACCATGCCCATAAACTATTATGCACTCGATACTAATTTTCAGAATATATTATTATTCAAAATAAAACACAGGTTGTCTACAACTGGCTGTTGTGATTATTTCAAGTAATCCTGACCTATTAATCGGCTCCGTCAATATCAGTTCATCATCATTTATGAATTCCAGTCTATCTATTTCATCAAATAAACATGGTTATTTTGGGCACCAAACCCAATCAACTGTCAATCCTTCATTAGTTGCTGATCGTTGGTTCAGTGAATTAAATGTAGATATGGAAAGAGTGAGCATAAACTTATTTTTGTTTATTTGAATGATTGTGTGCTGTTGTTTCTTTGCAATAAGTAAATATTTTTGGTAGATGGATTTTGTTTCTAAGGTAAAAGGGATTTTATCATCGGCTCAACATTACGTGGGGTCTTGTTGACCTTTCTAATTATGAATCCTTTTATTTTATGCAGTGTGTTCGCTTGTTATTTAAGACAGAGAGATAGTTTAATACATCGCAGAAGTACCTTATGCTGGATAATTTGTATTTATTTTGTTGACCATTCTATTAACAGCATCTGCAGACGAATCAGAACTGACAACACTTTAGAGTGGAACCAGAAAAATGCCGTGCCAAAAAGGCACCACAACGTGTTTAAAGAAGAATTGGGAGAATGTACGAAGGCCAAAGCATTGTTAACCCTAAAACCTGCAGCTACTTCCGTCTTTCGACGCAAAAGACCTGTACCTTATGCTGCTCTTCCAATAGTTGAACAAGAACTACAACGACTTCAGGAAATGGGTTTTATCGAACCTGTGAACCTCTCAAACTGGACTGCACCAATAGTGGTTGTCAAGATGTCGAATGGAAGCGTCCGTCTATGTGCAGTCTCACCAGTATCCGTTACCCTTACCAGAAGGTCTTTTCGCCAAGCTGAACGTTGGCAGATATTTTGGGAAATCGGACTTATCAGACGCGTATCTACAAATCCTGGTATCTGAGGAAAAAAAGATCTGACGATCAACACACACAGAGGTCTGTTCCGGTATAACCGACTACATTTTGGTGTGAAGACGGCTCCCTCTATTTTCCAGCAAATTATGGATACTGTGTTACAAGGTATCCCAGGGGCAGCAGCTTATTTAGACGATATCACAATTATGGCAGCAGACAAAATGGACCTGCAGAAGAAACTGGACCAGGTGCTAGAACGCATAGCCGATTATGGTTTTCACCTCCGAGCGGAAAAGTGTGACTTCTATATGCAGCAAGTACGGTACCTTGGGTTCATAATAGATAAAGGTAGGAGACGACCAGATCCAGAGAACATTGAAGCTGTGAGAACAATCCCTAGACCTAGGGACATTCCTACCCTACGATCGTCCTTGGGACTGGTCAGCCATTATGGTGCCTTCCTCCCCAAACTCCATCTTCTACGTGCTCCACTAAACCACCTACTACAAAAGAGTACAAGATGGAATTGGTCTGCGGACTGTCAAGCATCTTTCGAGAAAATCAAGCAACTCCTAACTTCCAATCTCTTATTGACGCATTATGATCCTTCGCTACCAATAGTCGTTACCTCAGATGCTTCTAACCATGGTGTGTGCGCAGTTATCACTCACAATTTTCCTAATGGATTTGAAAAACCTATCTCCCACGCTGCCAGATCTTTGACAACGACCGAAAGAAACTATAGTCAAATTGAGAAAGAAACCCTATCAATTATCTTTGCAGTGAAAAAGCTCCACAAGATGATGTATGGTCGACATTTTACCCTAATAACAGACCATAAGCCACTACTTGCAGTTTTGTGGTCAAAGAAAGGAATTCCTGTTCATACAGCTAACCGACTTCAACGATGGGCAACCACACTTCTGGGTTACGATTTCAAGATCATTTATCAGTCTACTACCGACTTCGGGCAAGCTGACGCATTGTCAAGATTAATAGGCTTCCAATCAAAAACCCCAGAGGAGACTCTTGTAGAAATATAAAAGCCGAGGAAGAAGTTCATCGCATATTGGATGACGCAATCAATGGACTCCCAGTAACCTTTGAAAACATCAAGAAGATCACTGAATGTGATAAGACATTGAGCACAGTCAAATGCTATCTCCCGATCAAATGGTCAAACAATCGTCTCGACGGAAAACTTTTGCAATATTTTCGTCGACGGGACTCACTAATGGTTATCGACTCATGTATTATGTCCGGTGATCGAATTGTTGTTCCGAAGTTATTACGTCACAGTGTTCTCAAGCAGTTTCACAGTGGCCATCCTGGAATCAATAAAATGAAATCGTTGGCTCGTAGTTATGCTTATTGGCCGTCAATGGACAAAGATATCGAGAATAAATGCCGTAACTCTCCATCATGCATTTAAGCTGCTAAAACTCCTTTGAAATGTGAACCTCAGTATTGGCCAACGCCTGCAGGACCCTGGGTAAGATTTCACGCAGATTTTGCTGGTCCAATCTAAGGAAAAATGTTTCTAATTATTGTGGATGCATTTACTAAGTGGCCAGAGGTATATACCATGCTTAATTGTACGACATCAGAAACAGTCCACAAGTTGTCTACCTTGTTTAGCTGCTACGGAGTTCCAGAGACCTTAGTAAGTGATAATGGCTCGCGATTCATCGCAGAATCGTTTAAGTATTTCTGCAGCGCAAATGAAATAACTCATCTTTGTTCTCCGCCCTATCATCCGCAATCGAACTGACAAGCAGAACATTTTGTGGACACTTTTAAACGAGCATTACTGAAAAGGAGAAGCGAAGGGACAACTGGACAGATAATCACAAAATTTTTAACACCCTACAGAACCACTCCGAACCCAAATGTTCCAGATGGTAAGTCTCCTGTTGAAGCCATGTTCGGAAGGCGTATTCGGACCGTTTTCAACGCCATGTTGCCATTCAATTAGTGGATGAGCACAGTCACAATCCAAATATCCGGAGCTTTAATGTTGGTGACGAAGTTTTCATTAAATACTACTTCGAGAAGAACCGATGGGAGCCGGGGAAAGTTGTACAAAAATTGGGAAAAGTTTTGTACAGAGTCCGAGGAACTTTTGGAACATATATACGACATACGAATCAGATCCATAAAGACAAAAGAACGATGCAGACTCAAAATAACCAGCCGAATCTTCCGTTAGAGTTAATCTTAGACACATTGACTTTACATATGCCCAAGGACACTGAAAATAAGCTTCGGTCAAGGAAGACAAGGAAGACGCCTCCGGAAACCAGTTGTCAAGCCACAAGTGGATCCTAGAAAGAAATCTTATTCGGGGAGGTGTTAAGTCGGCTCCCGAGAACTACAACGGAGCCTCCAGAGGCCCTAATTGAGCCGGAGAGTTTCAGCCAATCAGAGCACGAGGGAGCTTTCTAGAATATTAACGTGCTATGCTACTATTGGTCAGTAGCATAAAATATCTTTCAACGGATTGGCCAAAATATAAACTACCTTGATTGGTTTAATAATTTCGTATATGCATATAAATATTACTGTATATTAGAGTAAAGCCTGATGAGGATCTAATCGAAAATAATATTGTTCGCTTATAAATGTTGTTCTAAATTTACAATATGGGAATATTTCAAATTTTAATGTTGATTTGACAAATACTAATAATCTATAAATACCCGTGTTTTTTTGTACAAGAAGGGACCTTCGGAGTAAAGTGCTTTTCGCTTAATTTGCGCCTTTTCTCGTGTGTTCAGGTCGCTGCATAGTTCTAGCTTGCGGGTTACCAGAATAGCTTAGGAACCGAATAAAGCGTTCAAATTAGCAAGACTTATCACAATGAAAACTATAAAACATATATATGTCATCTTAATCCAACTTATTACATTAGTCAGGTGAAGTTGATTTGGTGAGCACAACTTCATATATACACTGATAACTGATCTCTCAGCAAACATGTAATGATAACCATGATTTTGAGTTTAAGCCGATTGGTCAGTGGTTAAAGTGCTCGACTTCCAACTACTAGGTTGAAATTCATTGCACTTCTGTCTAAATAACCACCCAGTGTCATTAAAAAAAATGAGAAATCAGTTGATAAGGTAGCGAACGTTCATATGTATCAAGTATCCCCAATAACCACCTATCTGGATGCATGATGATGACTGTTGTATGAGTAGGTTCGACGAAATCTATAGGCAGTCAAGCCAAAACATGCCATCGGTCCATGAAGTCATTTACTGTTGGATCGAGCCGTGTTAGTGGGTGCAGTTTACCTATTCGGGGTCCTTGTAATCATCTCAACTAGTGGTTGGAGACGACGAATGTTGTCGCTCAAAATTGGTCGTAATGGGGCAAATCTGCTTACTCTTCGTTTTTCCTTGGTTCTTTCATTCTCGAATCACATGTAAGCGACTACTGCTGCTACTCGTCTTCATAATTTCATCCCGCTGTGCTAACATGATGTGGCAATTTGGACAGATGCACATATGTGCCATGTTCTACATTGTTTATGACTGACTATTGTCATTAGCATTTACATAAAATGTAGTTGGAAGGCAAGTGCATTTAATTACCGAATTATATATATATATATATATCGGAATAATGGTCTTGTTGTGGACCCATCATTGAAATAAATAATTGTATTGTTTAGAAATTTTATTAGCATCTGAAAATTCATAAATTTCTTCCACTTGTGGTTCAAGCCATTGTTGATCAACCAAATGTGGTTCTTGGTAGACTCGGGATGTGCTTTCTGTCCTATTTAAGACCTTTACCTTCATACTCGTTGAACAAGTCAGTGGCTATCTCAATTCAGTTTCTCAGTGAACAGCCCAGTAGCGTTTGCATCAAGAGGTACTAGTTTCAAGTCTCAGTGTGAACATCAACATTCGGATACATGCAGACAAGTGCCGAATAGGATGAAACTCATGTCCTGAATCTTACTTCCATATACATACCAAATAATTGAATATTGTTAGCAACAAAACACATCATGTAATCCGCATAACGTACTCTCTATGTTTATGTACTGACTTTCCAACTAAAAAGCAGTTTTGATGGGAATGGTTTTCTTTTCGGTAATGGAGCTCATACTCGTGGTTGTGACATTGTAATATTCTACAGTCAAAAATTAAACATAAAAAATAATGAGATTGAGATATTTTTTAGCTTAAGATAGATTTGTTTATCATGATAAGATTCAAGCACTTGTTGGAATGTTTCTCTATTATTATTTGATTTTACTTTATGAAATTGTTGGCATTATCAGCGCTCAAACACAGCTACTAATGAATACTTCTAGTATTTGGCAAATTAAGTTAGACAATGGAAGGAGTCAAACTATGCTTAATGTTGTATTATTGAGTGATAAGTAGTATATATTTTTAGAATTACCAAAACAGCGCATCTGAGGTCGAATAAAATGGAAAAAATCATCTTGGCTTCTCAGCATTTTTAAATTCTACAACAGATAATAATTAGTTTGTGTTTAACTCTTATTCAAGGTCATGAGCGCGACATTAGCAATCAAATCTCAACTCATACATGCACGAAAATCGGCTCAATGTGACTGGACAGAATAACTAGTAAAAAAATAGCTTAAGATTAATCAGTAAAATTCAACAAAGGGAACAAAAGCTAATTAGTTATAAGTAGTATAGTTTTAGTTCAGAAATTCCACTGTCACAACTTATCGGTATTTCAGATTGATATCATGAACGGACCGATGTTGGACCACCAGTGAAAACCTGGAGACACTAGACGTCCATTTCGTCCCAGCATGGGACTCCTCAGCGGTGCTCATTCACGATCCTGCGCGCAGGACTCGGACCCAGGACCTTCGGTCTCACTCTAAAGCTCAACCTTTGGACCACTGAGCCGGCATCCAACGGTGTCATTCGCTGATACCAATCTAAGCTCACCAGTCTCCACAACCCATTACTGATAATTATCGGTATTTCTAGGTAGTCAAAATTATTAAAATTGTCAGCGTAAAAAATGACTTTTGTCCTAGCAAATAGTTCGGTTGCCCACTGTTAATTTTTTTCACAACTACAATTTTATTGATTTACCATGAAATCTTGATGTGGTATTCCACTCTAAAAAGTTCTATTGTCCAGGTGCTCTCCGTCTTTTAAAAGCAGCTACTTTGTGTCATATCGATAAATTGTGTCCCATTCAATCTGATTTTTATTGTTTATCTTCTTTCCCTCACTAAGATGATTTGATTCTATAATATTACTGTGTAATACTGTTTCATATTACTTTAGGTGTTGGAAATTTCTCGTCATCTACTTAGTTTGTATGATTTATGGCGTCGTTTTGATGAACTTGCTGAAATGCCTAACATATTATTAAAAAAACTTCCACGTCCTGTCATTCAATCGCCACATACTTCACAAAATTACCAATCTGGCAATTCTGTCAATCCAACGGGTTGTAATAGTACTTCTGCAACTCAATCATCTAATCTACCTAGTGGGACGCAACAACAAACTCATGGTGGATCAATGGTTGTTCCATCGGGTACAGGTGCTGTTGGTACAGGAAGTAGTAGTGGTGCTACGGGGACTGTTGGTAGTATACATAATATGCCGGATCACCAAACTCAACAACAACAAAGGTCAATGACGTCATCTAGCCAATCACGTATGCATCCACAAGGTGGTGGAATGCAGCATATGGGAGTCAGGTAGACGGATAAGGACAAAGCGATTATGGCTGCATATCTGTACAAAACTTTGGCAGTATATACTTATATATATTCAGTTCTATATACACAAATAATATATATTCCCTGGTTTACTTCTGCTGAATGTATTTGTGTGGGTTGACCAAAGCTTTCAGGTGTTAATTTTGAACGAACGTGTCGTTTTAGCAATGTAGCAGTATATCAGGTCAGCTGGAATAAATACTTTTCAGTATATGATTGTGGAGATTATTGAATTTCATTGAAAACATGATCCGGATTAATTTATTTTGTGTATTCACTGATTTTAACTACTTATAAGTAGTAGGTTTATCACTCGAAAAGGTTTCTTCGATTTCATCTATAGTGGTATGAGTTTTAATGAATACACAATTACGATGTCAATTTGTGATGAATAATTTATGATTTCGCTAAAAAACAAAGTCTAGCCATCATATCAAGGTTGATAAATGTCTGCCAATGAATAAGCATTTTTTAACCAGGTTGGTATGATATTTCACTATGCATAATATAATCTGAAATTTTTTTCAAGCTTAATACTAAAGGCAATCACTTTCTGATGAATTTTTTATATAGAGTTAAGTCTGAACAGTTATTCTTATTTTAGTACGTTATGGGAGAAATAAAACAGAAACAACTTATCAATGTAACGGTGAACCATCTAGTTAAATAAGTAAAGAATCTAGCGAAAATTTCTACAATCAACACATTTAATTTTGTAAGGTTGAATTCATGAGTTGATGTATGCTAGACCACCACTGAAAACCTGGAAGCACTGGACGGCTGTTTCGCCTTAGTATGGGACTCAGCAGTGCGCAGCAACAATCCCGCACGCGGGACTCGGGCCCAGAACCATCGGTCTCTCGCGAGAACGTTTAACCTCTAGACCAGCTATCCTGCCCCTAATATTTCCTACCACTTCTATTACTGTTACTATTTGTCATTCGTCGTAATAATTGCATGGTGTGGCAACTTGAATCAATGTGCACATATATACCATGCTCTATGTTGCCTATAACCTACTGATTGATTTAAAGGAATCTAAAATGATTTGGATTGTCCTGTTGCTGATATCATTTTACTGGGATTTTATCGGTCTTCCATCTATTCTATATCATCTTGTGTCATAACGACTATATAGAGGCAATCTGCAAAGAATCCCCACATGCCAAATAAAACTAATCGAATTTTCAGTCAAGTGAATAAATATCTTGACTCAGTGGCTAAGTGAATAACGCAATGATATCTGAAGCGAATGGTACTAAGTCCGAGTTCCATAGTGAAAATCAACTCTAGGATTCAGGTACATCCAGCTAATGAGTTCCACTTAGAACGAAACTCACATCCTGGATCCCACTGCTAGTTACATACCATCTGTTCTATGGTAACTGGTTGATTCCTTTGTTTAGAAATTCTTGTTAGAGATCTAATCAATTCAAGGTGGAAATATGAACTATTGGATTTTTGATCTCATGTATTAAAAAAAGTTGTATTTGTTGTGACGTCTGAAAGTCCAGTTAGATTCCATATAAAGTTGCATGTATACCTACTATTAAAGAGTTTTAATTTGGATTTAAGATAATCTTTTCAATAATGTCAGTTGTAAACAAAAATCATCAAAAGTTTGTAAAACTACCTTGTGTGACTTTGTTTCTTCAATAAATTTGTGTACTTGAATTAATAGTGCTAAAAGTTTATTTACTTTTTTCATCACAACTCAGTTCGATTTTATATATTTTTAATTAATTCAGTCTAGTATTTCGTTGACATCATTCACATTGTCACTACATTAGACCATATGATATAGTTTAACGAAGAATATATATATATATATATATATATATATATATATATATATATATATATATAAATTGATATATTTTTTATATACACACAACTGTATGAATATGTTTTTAAAAGTTCATTGAGATCAATATATTTTTACTAATTAGAGGTTAATTGGAAAAAGATGAATTTATCAAATCATTACTATATTCGACCGCTACTCCTACTTACTTACTTACACCTATTACACTTCGTGAAGCAGCATAGGCCGTCTACCAGCATTCTTCGTCCAACTTCCTCCTGAACAATCCTTTTTGGTTGTTTCCGTTGCTATTCATCCTTTTCATGTCTGCTTCCGACTCCCAACGTACTGTGTTCTTCGGTCTTCCTCTATTCCGTTCCCCTTCAGAATTCCAAGTTAGCGCTTGTATAGTGATACAGTTTGATGATTTCCTCAATGTATGTCCTATCCACTTCCATTGCCTTTCTTAATTTCCTCTTCAGCTCGAAGCTGGTTTGTTGCTGATGAGATTAAGTATCTTGTGTAGTAAATGGTTTGTTAATACTTGTGCATTTTTAATGATGGTTGTAGTAGTTCTCCGTTTCAGCTCCATACAGTAGAACTGTCTTAACATTCGTATTGAAGATTATGACTTTGCAATTGGTTGACAGTTGTTTTGATTTCCATATGTTCTTCAATTGTAAGAATGCTGCTCTTGCTTTTCTGATCCTCGCCTTTACGTCTGCATCAGATCGTCCGTGTTCATCGATGATACTGAGCAGGTAGTTAGACGTTTCCAGAGCTTCTCCATCAAATGTGATCGCGTTAGTGTTCTCTGTGTTGTATTAGAGGATGTTGCTCTTTCCTTTGTGTATATTGAAGCCTATTGATATAGAGGCTGTTGCTATACTGGCTGTTCCGACCAACATTTGTTCATGTGTGTGCATGGGATAGAAAAGAAGGCAATCTGCGAAGTCCAAATCTTCTAGTAACATCTAAGCTAACTATTGTATTCCACGCTTCCACTAAGATATGGAAATCTTGATGATCCGATCAATCACCTTAAGAATGATAAGGGGCAAGAGTGAGCAGTCTTGTCAGACACCGGTCCTCACTTCGAATGAGTCTGTGAGTTGTCCTCCACCCACGACTTTACAGTGTAGTCCGTCGTATGAATTCCGAACGATGTTGACGACGTTTTAGCTACACCATAATGTTGAAGAAGTTTACATAAGGTCCTCCTATCCACACTCTCAGATGCTTTATCATAGACAAAGAATTTAATATATAAGGATGAACTACATTCAATCGATGATCCGTAGGGTTGCGCTTTTGTCTGTGCACGATCAATCCTTACGAAATTTAGCCTGTTAATTTCGAGGTTGGGCGTCTACTGAATCTTCTTACGGCTCAACAACACTTGAAAAATTTTTCCGCTACCGATAGTAGCGTAGTGTCTTTGTAGTTCTCCAACATGTTGAGATTTTTCTTCGGTATCTTGATGAGATATCCTTCTTTCAAGTCCGTCGGCACTTGTTCTTCCTCACAAACCTCCTGGATAGAACATAGAATATCTTCGCAGTCACTTCTATACCTGACACCTATTGGTTCAGTCTGTAAGCTTTCAGGTAGTGCTGTTTTCCCCTTCTTTATTTATCTGACGAACATCCTGATTTCTTCGGTCGTTCACGGAGTGACATCTAAAAGGTTTGTAAGCGCTGCTTCGATGTCCGATGAGTTCAGTGGAGCTGGTCTATTCAACGGTTCCTCGAAGTGTTCTACCCATCTTTTCCTCTGTTCTTGAGTCTCGTTGATTGTCTTACCTTCTTTGTCCCTGACTTTTCTCTCTCCTTTACCATATTTGCCTGCCAGTTTCTTCGTTGTGTCATATAGCTGTCTCATATTTCCTTCTCCTGAAACCTTTCCTCTGTCGTTGCTCGATCTTCCACATATTTCTGCACTAGTGGTCTTCTCCACTTGCTTGTTTGTTTCTGTTTATGCGGTCTGTGCCTTGACTTTCTCTGTTCTTTTTCGACTGTTGTTAATTTCTGTCTTCTTGTTCTTCCTCCCTCGAATCTTGTTCAGGGTTTCGATAGAGATCCATTCCTTATGATGATGCCTGTTGCAGCGCAGCACCTGATACTTTGAAGTTAGTGCTTCTTTAAGCGCAGTTGTTCGCTGCTTTGCCAACTTCTATTTATGCAACCGGATAGTATTACTAGCTTTAAAGTGTAGCTTGAAGTCAAAAATAAATCTGTGCTCGATAATTATTTAGTACTAATAATCGTCAAATCAATGTTACCATAGGAATGCTTCTTATTGTCAGTTATATGCATCCCTTAAAATGTGGAAAAAACTAGCTGAGTTTCGTAAGGGAAATAAGATATTTTCAAGAAATCCTTTATTCCATTGTGTAGGGAGCAATTTCCTACAGGTTTAATTCTGAGTTATTCTCTAGACCGTCGAATACAGAGTCTTGGTTTGGCCAAAGTCAGAACAACCAAGCTATTTGGTTAGATAAACTTTATCTGTTTCGAACAGTAGCCAGAGAATAGGAAAAATGAGTCAACAAGTAAATATTGTTTTACAATGAACATCAAACTGTGATTGGTTAATAAAGAGATACAGTAGTACAAGGTCAAAGGGAGTTAATGTGGTGGTGGGTGTTTCCCTTTATTATTGGTGAGTTCGTCTATCGAGCACATTTTACACTCCCCCCGAAACGCGCACCACATCCATTGTCCAGGGTCGTCGTCTCCGTCAGATAACCAACCGGCTTCTTCTAGCAGGCATAGGCTTCGCACATCTATGACGATCTCTTCTTTTGAAGTTCTCGACTTTGCCATGCGGACTCGTCCGTCCGGGCCATAGCTTACTTGCTCGGCAATAGCCTTAGGCCATAGACCTCTATTCACTTCGACGTTACTAACAAGGTCTAAGTCACCTGGTTGTAAGTTCCTGTGTACGTCCAACCATCTGTCTCTTTTTTGGAGAGTCGGTAAATATTCTTTTATCCATCTATTCCAGAATGTGGTGGTTAATTTTTGAGCTTCTTTCCATCTTTTGTTGTATAATAACGTCTTATCCACCGAAGCATCATCGAATGATAATTTTTTATAAATCAGTAACAACTTGTTCGGAGTAAGAACTTCTAGGGTACCAGGGTCATCTGTCATTTTAACCAGAGGTCTGTCATTCAGTATCCGTTCCGCCTCAGTTAAGACGGTTTGCAGAGTTTCATCGGTCAACACATTCTGGAATAAAAGCACTCTTAAGATTCTTCTAATAGATCTTATGATGCGTTCCCACACACCACCTCGATGACTTGACCTAGGTGGGTTGAAACGCCACTCACATTCTCGTTCTTTAAGATGGTTTTCTATTTTATTTGTATTCCAGGAACGTATAATCTGTCTCAAACTAGCGTCTGCACCTCACAAGTTTGTGCCGTTATCACTAAAAATACTCCTTGGGCATCCTCTTCTGTCAATAAATCTTGATAATGCACATAGAAATGAATCCGTATCTAAAAAGTAGGCTATTTCGATGTGAACAGCTTTAATAGATAAGTAGGTGAATAAACAGCCATAACGTTTCTCGACAACTGTACCTCGTTTGGCACAGAACGGTCCGAAGTAATCCACACCTACTTGACTAAAGGGTGGTGAATGAGTCTCGACTCGGTATTCCGGTAAC